CGGCTATAAAAGGGGGGTATCCTCTATCCATTAGACACACATCTAGAGAGAGCAAGCTTCACCTCTCATCCTTAGAACCCTTAAATTTTGAGCCCTATTCCTTCATCTTTTCCCATCTTCTCCTCTAGCGAGCCATTCCAGAGCCTGACGAACCCTTCGTCAAGCTGCCGGAAAATTACCCAAAGCACACATTCTTCCACCCTAATCTCTGTCTCTCTGTCTCTCTCTGTCTCTCTCTCTGTCTCTCTCTCTCTCCTCGGCAAATTCTCACCAAAATCCTTTGCTTTAACCTCTATTTCTCGTAGAAAACCTGGTCTTTCTTTCTCTCTCATGCTAAACTCATGAATGCTTAGCTTTCATGCCACAAGCTTCTCAAGCCAAGCCAAGAATTTATCTGTAAGCAACTATTGGTTTCATTGGTGAAGAATACCAAGGTGTTTCCTAAGGCTCAGCTATCCTTTCGAAGCACTCTTGGGGTCTGATTCTTGAACTCAGACTCAGGGGCAATTTCACACATTTGGCTCTTTACAGCAGCCCGGGCCCATCAATACCTGTCGACACGAAAAAGATCCTACAATTGTCTAACGAACTAAATTAAAAACACAGAGACTAAATTGGCCGAATGGATAAAACACATGGACCATTTTGACATTTAAGCCTTGTTCACCCGTTTTATATTCGTTCATGTGATGGTAGGGTAAAGTTCTCCATTGTCTTGAAAACTATTGATTGGTCAATAAGTTAACTTTATTTTATGTATGAGCGTGCCATTGCTCGCAATAAAAAACCCTAGTAGACTTCTTTAAAAATGGATAACTTGCGCCCCACGTTACTGATTTCTAAACAAGCGATTGTGAATTTGAGTGAGGAATATCTCTCAAGTAAGTTCTTTTCTTGCCTCAGACTGGCGAGGACTTCACAATTTTTCACAGTACAAAAATGGTAGTTCTGGCCAGAATAAATAACAAGAAAGTAAACTGTTTCAAGCAGAACTGCCTTTTACAAGACTTAAAAAGGGTAAGACCAACTCTAAAAAAGCCAAAAGAGCATTGGACTTCAATTTCTGCATGGATAGCTACTTTTGATCCGGACTGGATTGGATGTATTCGTGCTGGATTGAACTATCAACACTTTCAACTGTCAAGTTTTAGCTATAAATCGATACCAACGTTCGAGTTTGGCAGAGCTTTAATCTATTTCAAGCCTTGGAAGGCTTTTTGAACGGCCAGAATTGGAGACTCTTCAGTCTGGAAGGGGTGGAAGTGTCTGGATTTGATGATTACTGAGCTGGAATTGCACTGTAGTACATGTTCTGCTTGATCGGGGCTCTCCATAAATTTGTTAAGGTTTTCATATTTTCAAAACCCGAACTCTGCTTGTTTTGGCTTATGCTGAACCAAATTTGTAAAGAGAAAAATCTCGCTTTGTATGACTATTTCTATGAAACTGAACTGACTTTAGAGATTCTGAATTCTAGCTGACTTGTTTGTTGTGGCTCAATGAGCTTTGGTTGCTTCAGTGTTTTTGAAGGCTTTTGAGACCAAGTGATCATTTTGAGTGTTTGTTTGTTTTTTTTATTGATTTTTTGGTTGTCTTTGATCTGTTTACATATTCTCATATTTATAGAAAACGCTGGAGTGAGATTTTTAATCTTTAAATAATGGGTGGCAGATTTTCTAAAAACAAGATCTTTTATTTTAAATGCCAAGAAAAAGGGAATTTTATCTATTATGGCAAAAAGGCCATCAACAGTCAGTTCTTATGGTAGTCACTTCCCTGTTTTTCTTTGAAAGAAAACCTAATCCCTTTTCAACTTTTAACTGCTCTTTGTAAGAGTTCAATCTGTCGTGATGGTTAGTTTGATTTTCGAGATGAACAACTCCCCGCTTCCCTTGGAAATGTAGCTTGTTTATCCATTGGAAATGATACCTGCTCTGATGCAGAATTTTTCTGTATATAGAAAGGGATTTTGATCTTTTCTTTGACTGTAAAAACTGGAGAAATCTTCCTGTAAGATTTGCCTTCATTAATCCCCCATCAACTCTCTTGTGATAGTTGAAATTGTTGACTTTTTAAAGTCAGGTAGTCACGTGGGTTTTCTGAGAATCTGTTGTTTTGTTTATGGGCTTTTTGAGATAAATGGTGAGAATTTAGAAGCTGGGCCCAATTCAATTCTTCTTTAGAGATTTATCGACCTGCTTGGTGATAAATTGCCATTTAATTGGCAATTTTATTGACTTACTTCGTGTTTTTTACACCTCTGCCACTTTGTAAAAGACATGGGCTTCTTTTGTTTGGTTTGGGCTGCTTATTTGGAATCAAGACCCATTTTTTGTTTTTTGTTTTGTGGGCTTTTTGTAAAGATGGGCTGTCATGCAGAGTTTTGGCCCAAACATAAGGAGCACTCTGGTGGCTGTCAAAAATTGATATAGGCTTTTTGATTTTGGAGCGGGTATGCCAAATTAGGCCCAAACAAGCCTAAAATCATTGCAACAAATGGGGTTTATTACAAATTTCCCAAAATAAATCATATATAATTTGGAAATTGTACTAATGCATTCTGATCCTTTCTTAACCTTTTGCATATGTTTCTTGTTTTTATTTATTTATTTATTATTATTAATTTAATATTTTCTGATAAGTTGTTTTTAATTTATTAATTATGAATTGATTAAATAAATCATATATCTTGGAAATTGTACTAATGCATCATGATCCTTTCTTAACCTTCTCCATATATTTATGTTTATTTTTTTTGGATAGGTTATTTTTTTTCTTTATTAATTGTAAATTGAACAAATAAATCACATATATTTTGGAAATTATACTAATGCCTCATGGCCCTTTCTTAAACTTTTCCATATGTTTCTTTTTTTTATTAAGGTGTTTTTATTATTTATTAAATAAACTTTTGGATTAATTTAAACTTTTGAATTTATTTTAGGATTGTATCGGCGCTCCAACAATGGTAATGGAGCATGTTATGAGCAACTATTATAATTGTCACACAATAATATCACAAAATGTATTAGCAGCTTGCAACTTTGATTTGGAGTTCATATATATTCTTAGTGGGCGGGAGAGTTCAACTCATGATTCAAGAGTGCTAACAAGAAGAAATGTACTTAAAGTCCCACAAGGTATATGTAATTATTTTATTTTTAGTTTATATTAGGTCATACATTGGATACTATGGTATTGATTTTCTATACATTTAGTATACGTCTTTTTTGTCAGGTAAATATTTTTTAGTGGATTGTGGATTTCCATATCGATGCCAACTTGTGGCTTTGTGTTGAGGTGTTAGATATCATCTCCAAGAGTTTGCTGGTCAAAGTCGTGACGGTGCAAACGTAATTGAGTTTTTCAGCTTTCGTCATGCTTCCTTGAGGAATGTAATCGAGAGGATATTTGGTATATGAAAATTACGATTCACAATTTTTAAGTCCGCACCTCCATTCCCATAACGGAGCTAGTGTTAGCTTGTGCATGACTATACAAGGGCGGACACACCAAAGGACAAGAGGGGTCAATTGACCCAATGGCAGCCCTGAGTTTGGCTCTTGGAGGTCCCTGGTTTTCCTTGGCAGTATGGGCAAAACAACGTCGCTTTGCTGCTCTATAAGGCGTATCTGAGCGAGGAAGAAGAAGATCAAACTACGCGTGTTCTTTTTATTTCTTTTTCTTTCTAAGGTTTTCTTTAACAAAGCGACGCCATTCATCCACTCTTATTCTTAATATGAGTGGAATGCATATTTTTTAGGCAGTCCGGATGAATTGGTCTTTTAATTAACATGCTATCCACTATATGACTGTAAAAAGAAAGAAAAAAAAGGAACGCTGCCATTATTTTAAAGGAAACGTTGCGTTTTATGAGAAACAAAATGTTTTATTTTATTTAATTTAATTTACCACGCAGACCTAGTTAGCTATCTAATTTAGTGAATGAATTCAGTGCTTCTTTTGATGTTGAATATTTCATGAACAATTGAGTATTTTATATTTTTAGGATTTATTATTATGCTTGAATGATAATCATATTTTTTTTGGTCGAATAAGAATTAGTATTTCAATTGAATTATATTGTATTATTTATAATATTTTTTTATATTAAAATAATCTATGTCTTGAAAGGCTTACGCTATTGACCCCATGAGGTAACATTCTTGTATCCGCAGCTATGACTATACAACTTTCTTCGAAAGCAAGTGTAATGAATTTCCTGTTGAATCGAATAACGAATCATCCTCATCTTCATTTTCATCATTATCAGTGAATAAAGGGGATCCTAAACTAATTTTCCAAACCCAAGAATAAGAACAAGAAAATACTAATGAATGGAGAGTTGGGTTAACTTTGAATATGTGGAGAGATGTAGAGCACAATGATAACAATGGGAATCAAGAATAATATTTTATTTTTTTTCATTTCGATGAAGTTATTCAAAATTTCTCGTCGAATCCTCAAAGCATGCCCCACAAAGAAAAATGACCAACTCAAATTGAGCAATATAATTCTTCACCAAAAAAAAAAAAAAAAAAAAAAAAAAAAAAAAAAAAAAAAAAAAGGAAAAAGAAAAGAAAGTACCATAGCTAGCTGTAGTGGGGCTTTTGCGTTGAGGGGGATCCAAAAAGTGGACTAGAAACAGATTTGCAGAATTTTATTAACACACGAGGGCAAGCTAGCTGTAGACCAATGCTATCCTTTGTGATATTTTGGTGAATGTATGAATGTATGGTCATCGCTCGCTCACACAGTAGCCTCCTTAATTTGCTGTAGCCTCCTTTGCGTGTAGACTATGGCAGAGACTGGTTCCCCCTTGTTGACTTCCAACATCATCATCATCCCTCATTTTCGACCTCAGATTTATTCTCATGGATTCTTCTAACTTCAACACAAATAATAAGCAGATAAATAAAAGTCTGTAAAAGTAAAAAAATTAGTAACAGTGAAGCTGGAATGAAAGCAAACGCCTCCTCAAAGCAACAAGCATTTCCAAAATGGTAAGTTTGCCGTTGATGTTTGTTTATCTTTTGTCTCTCATCATCTTAATCGATATCGTCTCTCTTCCTCAACCATCACTGGCCCTGTCCTCCTGTAACGGCGCATGCGCAACCCTCAACGACTGCGATGGTCAGCTCATCTGCATCAACCGCAAGTGCAACGACGACCCGGATGTTGGGACTCACATATGCAGTAAACCGCCGCCACCACCTCCCATGACCGCCGGAGGTTGCAATCCCTCGGGAACTCTCCATTGCAATAACGTATCATACCCTACATACACATGCTCCCCGCCAGTAACTTCATCCACCATAGCCAAACTTGATATCGGCGAATTCAACAAAGGCGGGGATGGCGGAGGAGCAGCCGAGTGCGACGAGCAATACCATGAAAACACTGAGCGGATCGTGGCACTTTCCACTGGGTGGTATAATGGCGGGAAGATGTGCGGGAGGATGATAATAATTACGGCGGGCAACGGGAGGAGTGTGACGGCAAAAGTGGTGGACGAATGCAATTCGCGTGTGGGATGTGATGCAGAACATGCAGGCCAGCCGCCGTGTGAGAACAATGTTGTTGTAGCCTCTGAGGCTGTCTGGAAAGCATTGCAACTAGACGTACAAGGAGAGGGTGTTCAGGTCACTTGGTCCCTGCATAGCAACTGCAGCGAAGCTATTAACTGCGGTGGCATCGGAAGCCTCTCGTACCCGTTTTGGGGAGTAAACCGAGCTAGTTACTGTGGCCTTCCCGGGTTTGAGGTCGCATGCCTAGACAATGTCCCGGTGATCAACATGTCGAATATCAACTACAGAATTCTTAAAACCAACTCCAGTCGGGCTCCTCCTTCTGTTACAGTTGCTAGGCAGGACTATTGGAAAACAATCTGTCCTCCGAGTTTTGTTAACACCAGCATCAACTCGTCTATGTTTCATTATACTTCCTCTGGGTTTACAAACCTGACTTTATACTACGGGTGCAATACAAGTACAAGTACAACAACTAACACTCCAGAGCTTACTTCTACTTCCCAAGTTTGCAGTAGAAGAAACAGCGGTAACATCACCGTTTCGTATGTCACGCCAAGTCCCCGAGTTGATCCAGTTGCTCCCGGGGCCTGTGAAAATCGGGTCATTGTTCCGGTTTCTACAACAGCTGCTGCAGCTCTAGAGGCCAACCGAACCGCTATCCAAGACGCGGTAGATGGGGGCTTTGAATTGGAATTGCAGATTCATACTGATCAATGCAACACTTGTATGCAATCAGGAGGGAAGTGTGGGCTTAACACTACTTCTGGTGGATTCAGTTGCTTTTGCCAGGATAATCGGGCCTATGCAACCAGATGTAATATTACAACAAATATTTCAAATCCACCACCACCCAGACCAAAAGGTATGTCTGTTCCTTCCCTTGTCATTCTATTATAAATTACAGACTATTAATTAGGAAGATGTTAGAAGTTTTTTGTGTCATTGAAATTCCAGGATTGGTGGCATCCACACTTTTTTTATTACATCGATCCGAGCTAGCTGATTAGGCTCATCTGATAAAACCCGGGTCCGAAATTGGGAATTATGTGCTATATAAGGTAATTAGAGCCAATTATCTGCAGAAACAGAAAAATAGAAACTGCTGAACCTCACAGATACAAGAAAAGAGATTGTTGTTGCTATGAATTTCAGCAATTGAACATCTAGGACAGAAAATTTTGTAAACCAATTGACCCGTAAGCCCTTAAGAGTGTTCATGTTTTTTGTCATTTTGATCCTTCGGTACGGACATCAAATTGGAAGTCTTGATGGTGCCAGTCAACACTTTGCAGTATCATATGCTCCAAGCAGCCTAAGAAATACACCTACCAGACATCCGTACAATCCCATTGACATCGGTACTTAAGATGCTAAAAACTTGAGTCCACCTTTGTTGACTTTGATTGTTGACTTTGATCATTCTACTTGAGTTGTAGTCAGCTGGGGTCATAAATGGATATTATAAATAACTCAAACTTTTATCTAAATATTTCATCATCCCAAATTAAAAGCTAAAAAAATCAAGAGTTACACAAAAAACAGCTAGACCACAAAGGCATGGCAGCAACATGAGCTCCACCACCATTGAATTGAAGTCAATACCAGTTAAGCATAACCTCTGCCCTTTCATTCCGCACCATATGTCGATTTGCTCTTGGGTGTAATGTGTTTTAGAAAGCATAAACTAAGCATTAAGTTTATAAAACTTACCAATTAGGAAACCCAAGAAACAAAGAAAATTCCACACCTAAATACATACAGAAAGATTATTATTCAAACTGTGCACATCGAAGTACCAAGAAGCTGCAAGTAAATCCCTTTAAAACCCACCTTTTTCAATGAGAGAGTGGCAGCATAAGCTGGAAGACGATGAAGAAGGGGAGAGCAGAGCAATAGCCAATCGGCATCACTACTTCATTGTGTTGATGCTATGTATTACACAAAAGACGTCAGTGGTTTGAAGCAGCGAAGTTTGTAAAGATATAAGAATCATGTCATTTAAGTTTTCGTTGTCTAATGTCATAAGCAGTTTTCAAAATAATTGTGAAATTCTTTTAAAACAACTTTAAAAGGTTTTCAATTCTCAAATTTTTGTTTGGCCCGATTTCTCATTCACTAATTCTGAAAATATATATAAATAAGCTTATCATGATAAATATCGCATGCTTTAAATTGGTTCGAACTGCTTTTTCTATTTGTCCAAAAAGAAAAGAAAAGAAAATGACTGATGCAGTTGAAGAAGCACATGATACACCATCCGAACAACTCTTATGATTTAACCTTTTTTTCTGTGCAGGTTCAAATTCAAAGGCTAAATATGAAATAGGTGCGTATATATATGTTAAACTGCAAATACCAGAAGTTTTCTTTTTTGTTCAAAGAAATGCCAGAAGTTTCAATCTTTGCTTTCTTTCACAAATCAATGAAATGAATAACTTAAAGAATTTTTCAATATAGGCATTTCGGCTGGTGTTTCGGGCATCTTCATAATCATTTTTTGCATAGTATGCATATCAAGGAAAAGAATATCAGGTTTCTTCAAGAAAGATATAAGGGATGAGTTTGATGTTGAGGCATTTATAAGGAACTATGGATCCCTTACTCCAAAACGGTATAGTTATGCAGATGTCAAGAAAATGACAGACTCATTCAAAGATAAAATAGGTAAAGGTGGATTTGGAACCGTGTACAAAGGCAGGCTGCCGGATGGCCTTGTCGTGGCTGTGAAAGTCTTAAGCGAGTCCAATGGTAATGCAGAAGACTTTATTAATGAAGTTGCTAGCATTGGTAGAACCTCCCATGTCAACATTGTCACTCTCTCTGGATTCTGTTATGAGAGGGACAAAAGAGCTTTGATTTATGAATTCATGCCCAATGGATCTTTAGATAAGTTCAGACATGAGCAAGGATCCGAAGCAAAATGTCCCTTGGAATGGAAAACACTATCTGAAATTGCTGTTGGCATTGCGCGAGGACTAGAATACTTACATCGTGGATGTAACACTAGAATTCTGCATTTAGACATCAAACCACAGAACATTCTTTTGGATAAAGATTTTTGCCCGAAAATCGCTGATTTCGGGCTTGCCAAACTATGCAAACCGAAGGAGAGTATTGTATCCATGATGGGGACAAGAGGAACTGCAGGGTACATTGCACCAGAAGTGTTTAGCCGGAACTTTGGAGGCGTATCTCACAAGTCTGATGTGTACAGCTACGGCATGTTGGTTCTTGAAATGGTTGGAGCCAGAAAGAATTTGGATTCGGAAGCGTCTCATACCAGTGAATTGTTTCCGCATTACGTTTATAAAGATCTAGAGCTAGACAATGATGAGAATGTTTTTGGGGCAATCACAGAGGAGGAAAAAGAAATAGCAAGAAAGATGGTAATAATAAGTATGTGGTGCATTCAGACAAGTCCTTCCGATCGGCCATCAATGGGCAAAGTAGTAGAGATGTTGGAAGGACCTCTTCATACATTGCAAATTGCACCCAACCCTTCCTTGTTTTCTCCTGCACAAGGCTCTATGATCACATCCCAACCAGCTGAAATAGATACTAAGGCAATTTTGTCTCATGAGCAGATCACTGGTAATTAGGAAATTCTAGCTGAATTATTGTAACATAGTTCCGTTATCGTAAATCAGACAGTTTTCATTATCCAAGTAAACTATATATTCTATGGCCTAACTTGGTTTCCATTGGGCTCAGATTTTTTCCAAGTTTGCTTCCATCCAGTGGTTCTGTCTTCTCGATGTGGTGCTCTGTTTTGCCTAGTAGTGCCTGCTATGTTTTGTGTTCTGCACTTTAGTTGATGTTCTATATTTTTGTATATTCTTGTCTCCTGTCATTCTGAATGAAAGTAAAACAAGCAAAGATTATTACTGTGAGTATAGATTTATATTGAATGTTTTGGATTTTTGTCATTCGACATGAAGCAAACCCAAAAAAATGAAGGATCTAAAATTTGGGAAAACTCAAATTTGGACCCAAATATGGGTCCAAGTATTGCCTGGACCTAACACTATTCAATGGAGTCCATGCACATCTCAAACAACCCCATGCGCAAAGATTCTAACGTGAGGCCCACCTCCAAATTTGCAGCTTGCTTTTTGTCTTCTCTTTGCGCCACTTGTCACTATCCCATGGAGTTGCCATTGGAATCCAACGGTTTCAAATGTTGCTGTTTTTTTTTGGTATGTACATATAACTTAAATCAACGATGGGGATTAAATCTATGCTATTTTAACGGTAAAAAAAAAGATCCAACGGCTGAAATTTAAATCCAACAGTCAAAATAATATTTTCAATTAATCCAAATCAAATCCAATCCCAAATCTCACTCCAAACTCTATAAATACTCACCCATTTCTCAATTAATCAACCAAAAATATTTTTTCTATTTCTCAATTTATTTTTCCTTTGTCAATTTCATCAATCTCTTCCATTCTCATACTTTTGATATCATTTCAAGCACAACATCATCTTCATTCTCATACTTTGGAATAAAATTAAATTTATGGAATTTCAATTTTTTTTAGGTCAAATTGTTCAAAAAATTAAATTATGATGTTATTTAAAAAGATTAATGAAGAAAAAAAATCCAAAAAAAAAAGAAATAACTTACAAATTAAACTTAAACAATTTAATAAAGTTGCGGACTTAAAATTTGAATCCGGAGGGTTGGGAGAAAAAACGATTTGAGTCCGGGCAAAACCCAAATAGTTACTTTTTGGAGAGGGAAAATTTGAGTTTAGCTCCTCATGGGTTGGAGAAGGCCTTAGCAGCTCATATGTAATCAAGTATGAAAGCTGCAAACCACAGCTGTCTAACTCTTCCATCAGCCAACTCTTGTATCCAACCAAAGCCTTGCACCCTTCTTATTTCAATTATTAAAATAAAAATATTTTGTTACTCTTTTAAAAGTTTTTCTTTCTAAGTTGAGATATTGCCCTAAACACTATCAACCATTTTCTAGACCTCTTCTCTTAAACTAACAGTGGTATCAGAGCTTGTTCGATCAACCTTGGGCGTTGGTTCACTAGTCCTCCATCATGTCTACCACTAGCCAAAACTCTGACCCTCTTCCTATTTTCACGGGAGAAAACTATGACTTCTAGAGTATTAAAATGAAGACCTATTTTATGTTTCAAGATTTATGGGACATAGTTGATAATGGTTTCAATAATCCAGAAAATCCAATAGTGGAACAATTGAGGCAACTGAAGAAAGATCAACAAAAAGATGCAAAGGCCTTATATGCCATGCAACAAGCCTTGCATGATACGATTTTTCCAAGAATCATGGGAGCCACAACTGCAAGGGAAGCATGGAATACCTTAAAGGAGGAATTTCAAGGCAATGCCAAGGTACGTGCAGTTAAACTACAAATTTTGATAAGAGAGTTTGAAAACATTAAAATGAAGGATTCTGAGACCACACAAGACTATTATGCTAAAATAAAAATAATTATTAATCAATTGAGAGCCTATGGAGAAAATATTAATGATTCAAGAATTGTAGAAAAAAATATTTGTAAGTCTTCTTGATAAGTATGATCCTTTAGTTATTGTCATTGAACAGACAAAAGATTTAAGTAGTCTGTTAGTGACAGAACTAATGGGCTTTCTTGAAGCTTATGAGAAAAGACTGAGTAGGCAAAATGAAATTCAGTTGAAAGCGCCTCTCAGTCAAAACTAAATTTAAGGTCTTAGAAAACTAAAGAAAGGGAAAGGAAAATTGGAGAAATTTCTAGAAGAGAAGATTATAAATCCAATAAGAATTGGGGAAATAAAAAGAAATAAAGGAAAGAAAAAACTAACCTCCCTGCGGGTTGTGTAAAAATACAAACCACCTAGAAAAATATTGTTGGTTCCATGTCAAGCCCAAATGTCGAAATTGTAAACAATTTGGGCATATAGAAAAAGACTGTTGAACCAAGAACTATCAAGCCAATTACTCAAAAAAAAGAGAGAAGAATGAGCATGTGTTTTATGCTCATCAAGCCACACCAGAAGGAACCAACAAGAAATGGTATATTGACAGCGGCTGTAGTAATCACATGACTGGAGATGAAAGCATCTTCTCCAACATAGACAAGTCCATAAAATCCCAAGTAAAACTGGGAAATGGAACACTGGTAGAGACAAAAGGAAAGGTACAATCTCTATCCAAACTAATAAAGGAACTAAATATATAAAAGATGTTCTACTGGTACCTAGCTTGGAGCATAATCTATTAAGTGTTGGACAAATAATTGAAAATGGATATTCTCTGCACTTTTCTAGAGACTCTTGCACATTATTCGATAAAAGAAATAAAAATCACATAATAACAAAAGTAAGGATGGAAAATAGAAATTTTCCTATCCAATGGCAACTTGTAAAAGCCACAGCCATGAAAGCAGAAGTAGAAGATTCATGGTTATGGCATAGAAGATTTGGCCACTTTAATTTTTATGCACTAAAAACTCTTTATCAAAAGAATATGATAAGAGACCTTCCAAACATAAAAGAGATCCATGATGTCTGTGAAGGTTGCCAACTTGGCAAACAACATCGACAAGATATGGAAAGGCTTGGAGAGCTAAGGCCTTGTTGGAACTTGTTCACACAGACGTTTGTGGACCCATGATGAGGACTCCATCTCTTCATAGCAACATGTACTTTATCCTGTTTATAGATGACTATACAAGTACGTAGCAGTAGCAAGTTCAGCATGTCAAGCTATTTGGCTCAAAAGAATATTTGAAGATATGGGAGAGTGCCAAACAGAAACAGCTGAAATACTTTGCGACAACAAGTCTGCTATAGCAATGGCGAAGAATCCAGTATTCCATAGCAGGACAAAGCATATCGCCATCTAGCATCACTTCTTATGAGAAGTCTCATCAAACAAAGAAATTGAGCTCAAGTATTGTAAGACAGAGGAGCAGAGTGCAGACATCCTCACTAAGGCACTTCCAAGACCAAAATTTGAACTGCTATGAAGCATGCTCGGAGTAACACAAATGTGCATTAAAAGAAGTGTTAAAAAGTAACGCACACTTGTACTATAAAGGAAAATCTTGAATAATTTAGAAAAATCTAGAAAGTTTTAGAAAAAGTAGAGATGTTAGAAATATCAATGTAATCTAGAATAATGAGAAAAATTGTGGCTAAAAACAACTTTGGCAAAGCCAAACCAACTTTTCCAAAGCATGCTGCCGACATAGCACTCCTCTATATATATATATATGCTATTAGGAGCCCATATGTAATCAAGTAAGAAAGCTGCAAGCCACAGCTGTGTAACTCTTCCATCAGCCAACTCTTGTATCCAACCAACTCTAAAGCCTTGTACTCTTCTTATTTCAATTAATAAAATAAGAATATTTTGTTACTCTTTTAAAAGTTTTCCTTTCTAAGTTTAAGTTATTGTCCTAAACACTATCAATCATTTTCTAAACCTATTCTCTCTTAAACTAACACAAAATAACTGTAGTTAAATACCGTGATCCTTCTAGAGAAGAGGATTTATCTTAGCTTCTGTTAGTCTTCTCCGTTGCAGGTTCCATTCGAAACTAACTGAAAGAAGATTTCAAAGTCATTTCCATGGGAAAAGGAAGCCATTCAATTCAAACTTGTTTGTCTCAAACTGACAAGAAAAAAAAAGAAGTACATATACATGGGAAAACGAAGGGATTCAATTCATTTACAGATATCACTGTAGAGGGAATTTCTACACAAATGACAAAGTGCTTATTTGTATTTCCACACTAGATTTTTTTAACAAAATATTGGAAAAAAATGAAAGCCATGGCATTTAAAAGTGAAGAGATTGGAAAAATGGAACATAATCAAAGGTCACTATGGATTGAGTATGAGGCTTTAGAGGCTAACAATGTTGGGGTTGAAGTTATTATCAAACTGGAGTTCGTGAAGAGAAGAGGAAAATAATGTCCTTATGATTTCCTTGTTTTTTTTTCTTTTCACTGGCTGGAAAACAATGTCAATGGCAAGATAGATGGCAAATTGTTAACTTTATTTTCTCGGCACTTCATTAGATAAACTTCAACGGTATAATCAAAGACATCAACAAGACATCTAAAATACCAATCCCAAGAGGGCAAGAAACTAATATGCTAAAAGCAAAACTAATGCGGACAAATATCTGACATAAACCTTAATTTAATGTTTATGTGACAGACAGGACCAATTATTCAGCTGAAGTTTTAGAATAATAATATGGCTACAGGTATAATGTTATCATCTTACGAAATCCGCCTTCCTGCATTAATTTTTCCTTTTCCTAGCACATATCTTCCGCAAATATAAACCTGTTTTTTGTTTATTGTGTGTGTGTGTGTATCTTCTCTGAGAGCAAATCATCACTTAGAATGGAGAACTTTGTATGAAGTTGCAATTGGAATTGCTCGATTGAGGACTAGAGTACGTAAACTGTGAAATGCGGTTGCTCCCAGGCTCCATTGTCTCCAAAGTTTGATGAGAACAATCTATGGAACACACATGCACATGTATTAGGTAGATAGACAAAGCGAAAAATAAAAAATAATAATTTATCTCCCCAAATTAGCTTCAAAACCCTCACAGAAATTTTACCCAACTCTTGTGAACACGGTTACAGAAATTTTAAAGAAAAAAATAATTTCCAAACAAGATTGTCATGGCATTTGAAATGCTGTCTATATTTTCAGGAGCTCCATCTTTGGCTTTCCCTGAGTCTGAGTGGTACCAGAAATATTGCACAACTACATCTCATAAACTAAAACCTTGTGCAAACATAAATTATACATCTTATATGGCATTGGCATTGGCATGGCTGTGATGTGTGCTAAAATATGATCTATGAGAGAATATTTGTTTGTGAGAATTTTCTGTGTATTCTTCTCCTTGTAGGAGGTCATATTTATAATACAAAAACCTGAATGGGCAAGTAAATAATAAATTCCTAAATCTATTTACAGTAGGAAATCAGAAATTAAAGTAAATCAATTACAATTATAATAAGAATTCTTGGTGTGTAAGGAAAGTAAGTCAATATCCACAAGTCACGCCAACACTCCCCCTCACGTTGGTGCATAGATGTCGCCAATGCCCAACTGATCCAGTGAATTGTGGAATGCTTTAATGGAAATCGCTTTGTCAAAATATCCACCAATTGATCCTCGGATTTCACAAATGGAAACTGAAACACTTTAGCCTCAAGATTCTGTTTGATGAAGTGTCGATCCACCTCAACATGTTTAGTACGATCATGCTGAACTGGATTCTGTGCAATGGCTATAGCAGCCTTGTTGTCACAAAAGAGATTCATTGTGAATGTAGGTTTATACCCAAGTTCAGTAAGCAACTTTCTTAACCAAAGAAGTTCACAAATCCCTTTAGTCATGCCTCTGAACTCGGCTTCTGCATTGGATAAAGCTACTACATTCTATTTCTTACTCCTCCATGTCACCAAATTACCTCCCACGAATGTGAAGTAACTCGATGTGGATTTTCTATCTGTTACATTACCTGCCTAATCTGCATCTGAATAACCATCAATATTTAGATGCCCATGCTTTGAGAACATAAGTCCTTTTCCAGGTGCAGACTTCAAATATCTAAGTATTCGAAGAACTGCATTCATGTGGTCTTCACTTAGAGAATGCATAAATTGACTGACAACGCTCACCGCATAAGCAATGTCTGGTTGAGTATGTGACAAATAGATCAATCTTCCCACTAACCTTTGGTATCTTTCTTTGTTAGTTGGAATTGATACGAATATTCTCCAAGATGATGATTATGAATAATAGAAGTGTCCGTAGGTTTGCAATCTAGCATTCCTGTGTCTGTCAACAAGTACAAGACATATTTCCTTTGAGAGAGAAATATGCCTTGCTGCGATCGAGCCACCTCAATTCCCAAGAAATACTTGAGTCCACCTAGATCCTTATAGTCTTGTAGCTATGATATTTCTTGTTTATCATTCCCAGTAATAATCATATCATCAACATAGATTATTAATGCTGTTACCTTCCCTTTCCGATGTTTCAAGAACAGAGTATGATCTGACTTGCACTGTTTGAAACCATTGTTCTTCATTGCCATGGTGAACCGTCCAAACCATGCACGTGGTGACTGTTTCAATCTATACAATGCTTTCCGCAATCTGCAAATTGTTCTAGTCTAAGTAGTATTATATCCAGGAGGGATGTCCATGTACACATTTTCCGTGAGTTCGCCATGTAGAAAAGCATTCTTTACATCAAACTGGTGTAGTGGCCAATCCAAATTAGCTGCAAGGGACAATAAGACTCTGACGGTGTTTAACTTTGCAACTGGAGCAAATGTTTCTTCATAGTCTATACCATAGGTTTGTGTGTACCATTTTGCCACAAGTCTCGCCTTGTATCGCTCAATAGATCCATCTGCATTGTGTTTTATAGTAAACACTCATCTACATCCGATAGTCTTTTTTCCTCGTGGTATAGTCTCCAATGTCCAAGTCTGATTTTTTTGAAGAGCTTTCATCTCCTCTTTTATAGCTTGGACCCATTTAGGATCTTTCAATGCTTCAGAGATCTTGGTTGGAATATGGATAGCAAACAACTGGTGCACAAAAGCCTTGAGTGGTTCTGACAGCTTCTCAGTGGATACATGATTTGCAATTGGATACTTGGATGTTTTGCCAATATCAGGTGAATAACAGTTTGGTGGCTTCCCACGATTTTTCCTGAAAGGTAATTGATATCCAATAGTTTTATCCTTTAAATGCACAAGTCTAGTATGAGTAATTACCTCAAGGATATTCTCAGGAGATTGGTCTGTTGGTATTATTGAGTTAGAAGAGGGGTCTTCATCTTGTTGTTCTGTATTGTCTGTAGGTGTGAGATTCGTATAAGAAATATCTTCACATAGATCAGGTGGGTCAGGCAATTGATCACTATGAATGGGAGATTGATCGCTTTTCAGCAGAGAGTAATCTCGTGCTCCAAACTCGGGACGATCGATCATTTCTGTACAGAGGAGAATTTCTTCATTTTCCAAGTTGCTCCAATTCTGCTATTCACTTCGTATCTCCCCATGAAGCGTAGAATTGAATAATGGGTCATGGAAGAACAGCTCAGATTCCAGAAAGGTCACATCCAAAGTGACATAGGTACGTCGGGTAGGAGGGTGATAACAGCGGTAGCCTTTCTGATGAGTGGCATGACCCACAAAAACACAACGAAGCACACAGGGATCAAGTTTACTACGTTGATTTTTGTGGAGATGAACGAAAGCCACACATCCAAAGATTCGGGGCGTGAGTACCAAAACAGAGGGCAGAGGTCTGTATTGCGCAAGCACCTATAAGGGAGTTTTAAAGGTCAATACCTCAAAAGGCATGTGGTTGATCAGGTGAACTACGGTGACAATAGCATCATCCCAGTGATGACGAGGAACATGAGCGCCAATCAGAAGTGATCGGGCGGTTTCAAGAAGATGTTGATTCTTTCGTTCAGCAACACTATTTTGTTGCGGTGTCTGAGGACAAGTCGTCTCATGAATAATTCCATGTTGTTGGAAGTAAGTCTGAAAGTCATGATTGACAAATTCTCCACCATTGTCTGAGCGAAGAATCTGGATTTAAGCATTAAACTGAGTTTTCATATGTTTGTGGAATGACTGAAAACGGGAAAACACTTCGTTTTTATTCTTTAGCAAATAAAGCCATGTCATTCGTGTACAATCATTTATGAATGTGACAAACTATCGAACACCAAAAGGAGCAGTGATAGGGTAAGGTCCCCTGACATCAGAGTGAATTAACGTAAATGGAGTAGTACACTTGTTCGTACTCAACGAGTAGGGCACATGGTGACTCTTGGCCAAAATACAAGTATCACATGTAAAGTCAAAGTCCTTGAAACCCGAGAATAAATCTAGTATAAGATGCTTCATATAACTAAAAGACGGATGCCCTAATCGACGGTGCCACAACCATATTTGCTTTTGTTTGCTATCAAAGGGATGCGTCACACTGTTAGCCACGCTGGGACTGAAGTCATCGACATAATATAGCCCCCCTATCTTAGTACCACGACCAAGAATCTCCTTAGTGTGAATATCCTGAAGCAAACAAAAACTCGGGTAAATGAGTACACAACAATTCAATTGTTCAGTAAGCTAACTAACTGACAACAATTTAGTAGATAAAGATGGAACAAGTAAAGTATTAGACAGTGTGAGAGAGGATGAGAGTGCAACAGTGCCAGCCCCCATCACAGGATAAGTAACGCCATTGGCATTTGCAATACAGGTTCATCGAGGTTGTGTAGTATTCAGAAAATCATCAGGATCAAACGTCATATGATCAGTTGCACCGGAATCAATTATCCAGCTCCTGGAATCAATCTTATCAGAAGTATGGAATCCATAACTAGTACCATTATTGGTCGTATTGCGTTGTCCTTGATCTTTAAGAGTAGCCCACCAATCGGGGTAGCCATGCAATTTAAAACAAGTCTCACGAGTGTGCCTCGGATCACCACAATATGCGCATTCTGGTCCATGTGTCGGGGTCGTTAGTTGAGAAGTCATAATCTGTGCAGCAGAAGATGCATATGATACAGGTTTTGTAGGAATTCAGATCGGGATTTGAGCTTGAGTCGGGACGGAGTCGGAGTCAAAGTCGGGACGATTGGAGAATGTCGTTGAAGAAAAAATTAAGTGAGGAGAGCACCATTAAGGACTTGAAAGATTATGTGATTATCTTTGGGGAACTCTACAGACGTCTTCCAAGAGGTGTTTTGACCCGATGCATAAGAGTAACGGAAGCAAGAAGGAGGTTGCAAGAAGTACACGACGCCACTTGCAACTTGGAACCAGTGATCAACTTGTATTGACGCCTGCAGCGTAAAGGTTATTATTGGCCAGAGATGAGGAAGCAAGCAGCTGAGGTTCAGGCTGATTGTCCCAAATGTTCTACGATACCGACTGCGGAAGATTGGAGAGCCCCATATTTAGCATTCTTTGTTGAGGGGACTCTGCCAACCAATTCCAAGCTCGCTTATAGGCTTAAGAAGACGGTAAAAAGGTATTTTGTGGATGGGTCGACTCTTTACCGGAAGGGATTCAATGGTGAACCACTATGATGCTTAGGAAGGTCAGAAGCACATCAAGTCATGTAGAAATACATGCTGGAGAGTGTGGAGAACATCAAGGAATGAAAAGGCTTCACCGGCAGCTCCTGAGTTTTGGATATTACTGGCCTACCATGAAGAATGATGCACATGACTTTGTTAAAAGATGCCACACATGCCAAATCCATGCTAATTTAAGTCACAAACCTCCTATGTTGTTGCAGGACATGCGCACCCCTTGGCCTTTCCACTTTTGGGGGCTTGATTTAATTGGGACAATCCATCCTCCATCCGATGGTTACATATGGATTCTTACTGCTACGGAATATTTCACAAAGTGGGTTGAGGCAATCCGTCTTCAAAAGGCCACAGGAGCTGCTGTCTCAAATTTCATTTGGGAATATATTGTGTGCAGGTTTGGAATCCTGTACAAGATGGTTACCGACAACGACACACCCTTTGTTAACAAGCAAGTAAGCTCAACACTCAGTGGTTACGGAATCAAGCCTATTACCCACAGGGAAATGGTCAAGCAGAGGCTACCAGTAAAACAATACTGAGGATTTTGAGCAAAATGGTATATGAGTATGAGGGCGGTTGGAGCATTCACCTACCGGACGCTTTGTGGGCTTACCACACCTCACCAATAAGTGCTACAGGTTATTCACCTTATTCACTTGTATATGGGTCTGACGTTATTTCACCTGTGTAAATCACCATTCCCTCGACCAGAGTATCGGTTGTCAATGATCTTGAATGGGACGCCAAATCATGCTCAGATTGGCATTTGTTGGACCTCGAAGCAGTGGATGAAAAGAGAATGGAAGCCGAAAGAAAAATGGCACTCTACCACAAGACTATTGCCCAAGCATATAACAGGACCGTTAAGCCTCAAGCCTTCAAGCAAGGAGATCTTGTGCTAAAAGTCGTTAAGCATGTGAGAAGACAAATGTCAGGACCATCCAAGTTTGCCCCACAATAGGAAGGTCCATTCGCAGTCAAGGAAGTACACAGCAATGGCTATTATCGCTTAATCTCTGTTAAGAAAGGCATGCTAACGGATCCCATCAATGGAAAGTGGCTCAAGCCCACTACTGCTAAGTAGGCCTAGTATTTTATCTTTATGTTATCACATTTCCCTTTTTTATGGTCTCCTTTCGTATGCTTGCTTTTTCTTGGAGAAGCTTTTGTAAAATGTATCATCATGGTAACATGAGATTTGAAATGAAAATGAAGGAGTATTTTGAAAAAACAAAAAGAAATTGTCTCTGGATGCCTTTTTCCTTTTTTATATATATTGTATATATATTTTTCTTTTTTTTTTTTTTTTTTTATAAATATAAATTTTTTTTTTTTTTTTTTTTTTTTTTTTTTTTTGGGAAAATGTTATTTAGCAGAACACATGCCAAGCAAAGCCATTTGTATGGGATCCTAAGTTGCTAGCAGGCTTCATGCTTTATCGAGATAACAAAGAAATGCGCCAAGCTGAGCTTTTGAAATTAGCATGCTTACAATTTTTATATTTTAAAAATAAATAAAATAACCTCTCTCGACGAAAGTTTGTCGGCACAGGTCTATGCTGACGAAATTTCCTAGACTAAATTTTCTTTTTAAAAAGGTATAGCTGCTCGGCTATACTATTTATATATATATATAAACCCGCCCATCGCCTAGGTGCCACGTGTCAAAATAGTAAAGACAGGCGACTATACTATTTTTAAAAAAAAATATAGGAAAAACGAGTATAGCCACTATTTCGTTAAAAAATTCAGACAAAATCTAGTATAGCTGAGCGACTATACTATTTACATATATATATATATATATAAAGACCCGGCTAGCGCCTATGCACCACATGTCAAAAGGTAAAGTCGTGTAGCTATACTATTTTTAATTTTTTCTTTTTAGGAAAACGAATATAGCCGCACTGCTATATGATAATATTACAATAATACATGTTTATTTCCCTTAACATATATCTTTCAAAGCAATTATAATGAGTAATTAAATAATCTTATGCATTTATATTTTTACTTGGTCAAATTGGTTTAATGTCAGTTTAATAACTTTGATCAATGACTTCCTATGTAAGCTTGTGTGTTGTGAAAACCAACTCAATTTGCATGCCAAGAAGTGTGCCACCCAAAGATAATATGCTAGTAGCCAATTAAAGAACTTCAACATATCCATGAAGTAATGATGATGAAGGAAGAAGTGCAACTAGCACAAGAAGAAAAGAATTCAAAAGAATGCATGAAGTGCCTCACCCATGCCAAAAGAAGAAAGGAAAAGAAGTATGGGATGGAAGAAAACAAGAAGAAATTGAATTCACATGCTTGTAAGGTGTCATCCACTCCAAAGAAGCTCAAATTCAGTGCATATTATCTAAAAAGATGATGAAAGCCACAAGGAAAGGAAGAAAAAGAGAAAACAATTCAACAATGGAATTGATTCCAACCACAATAACATAGGCAAGACGAAGTCGGAGTTAGGTATTGCATTAAAATAGGAATGATGGTGTTGGAATCCATTATGATGTTTCTCCTTCTTAGCCCTATAAATAGAGAAGTCTTCAAGCTTCAAAACACACACCAAGCTCACAATCTTCTCTTGAGCTCTCTCTCCTTCCTCCAATTCTAGTTTTAATTTCTTTAGTTTTATTTTATGGGAAACTAACTCCCTAGCTAAGGCTAGAGAGAAAGCTTTTAATATGAGTATGTAATTTTTATTAGTTTGATCCAAACTTATGCTTTAAAGTGAATTTGTAGTTTTGTTCAAATGGAATTTGTAATTTTTCTTTTTAATTAATTGATGAATGTTTGATATTCTATTTCATGGGTTCAATCATGTTTTTCCCATTGTGTAGTAAAAAACTTTCATGCTTTTAAAAGATGAGATAATTACTAAAATTAATAGAATTTCGACGAAGATTATTTTTTGATAGTTTGTTACCAATGGTATAAGTTATGCTTAGAATACTTCTAAAGGAAATTAAACAGAGCTTTAATTATTTTTAAAAACTACAGTGGAAAATATTTTGTGGATCAAATTAATAAGAGTTGCATGCTTATGTTAAAAGTGGAATCCCAATGCCTTAGTGCTTTAATCAATTAAATTTTATTTTAATCGAATCTTGGTTAAATCTACTTCTTAAACACAATTGTTCTTTTTCATCTATGTTATTTTCTTTACACCACTCTATGTGGACACGACACTCGGACTTCCGAGCTACACTGCTATACGACACATTTGCTTGGGTTTTGCAAAGTGGTACTAACACTATACTATTTTTTAAAAAATTTCCCAAATTTCCGTGCGGAAATCTAGTATAGCCGCAAAAATATAGCCCAATATATTGGTAAGTTATTGATTTCATTTGAATTTTGTTTGGCCTTTTGATTTTCCTTATACCTCACAATTTCGATTTCAACCCAATATTCACCCCAATTAGCTCAATTTGTTCTAACTAAAAAACCCTCAATTAGCCACTTGTCACTTTCTAATTGGTTCTTAGTGCGTTATCAATTTTTAACTTAAAAATAGAGCATAGTGTTTTTCTAAAGTACGGGACTTCAAGAGATTTTTTTTCCCTTCTAAAATGTAATGTTATATTATGAATTGTAGACGCATATATATATATATATATATATATATATTATGAATTGAGACAATTTAAAACCTGGAAGAGGCCCCATTCTTTGCAAGTTTAATATATTTGGTCATAAGCTCCTCAATACAGAATACTGATCACTGAGAGCTTGAAAAATTATGGAGGTATTATTAATATATAGAAAGAAATATCTTACATAAAATATTGGTGGATGCTTCTTCCCATTTTTTTCTGATTCGATGAAATTTTGATGATGTCTTTCTATTTCCCCACTTTAATTTGTAGCTTCAAAACACTGATGCATTCCAACTGCTTACCAGAAGAAGATGTGCATGCATTTTCCGGGCAGATTGGGTTGAGGATATGAAAACAAGCTACTTTCACAATTCACATGCAGCGTCATCATCGTTCAAAGTAGTATTATTTTCCCTTTGAACTTTGGTGATGTAACATACAATGAGAAAAGAGAATGGCGTTGGAGAACTAAAACCTTTCAATTCACAATCCTGCTGCTGGTGGGTCGTTCTCATATTCTCAAATTTACAAGAACAGAAAATAATGTGCAATTTTTTTGGAGAGAATCTATTTAAAACCTCACAGAACTTTTACCCAATCTCTTTAGTCAAATATTTTTGAACCCATTTGCAGGGCGCTTGTAACTGAAGCTGTAAAAATCATTTACCTCTACACCCAAAAGCCCTAGATTCTATTCCCCTCCCCCAATATCGATTGTATTAAAAATAAATAATAATAATAATTGAAACCTTTACAGAAATTTTAGGATGTTGTGAAGTGTGGATGCTCCTCTTAGTGACAGATGAAGAAACAAATGGGTTCATTTAATGCAAAGAAAAGCTACGAGAAAGCATCACAACCTACACTAAGCCGAGACAAAAATAAATTAAAATTTTAATTCATGAAAAATTAATACCACGTAAATCATATCACATTTGATTAAATATATGTGTTGTTTTAAGTAATTCTATGCAAGACCATATTTGTAATTTTTTTTTAAAAAAAAACAAAAACAAAAGGAAGAAAGTTCGAGCAATTAGGAGTGGTAATCGGAGCACACAAATTTGCAAAGGAATGTAACCCAAAAACTCATCAAACAACCCCCCCCACCCCAACCCCCAAAAAAAAAAAAAAAAAAAAAAAAAAAAAAAAAAAAAAAAAAAATATAGTGATATACCCATTCTTAGCACTAATATTATAAATAAACCCTACAAAATTGAATTTCTAAAAACAAACCCAAAAAATACCCAAAAAATGACAGCTGGCCTTATTGAATTTAATATTAATTATTAAATTACTTTGATGTCATGAAAACCTATCCTAGTTCATATAACATACAAACATTTAATTGATGAAAAATTAAATAACAACCTTTCAGTAAAACTATGAAAAATGAACAAATGCATATTTCAGTGTCAACTAAACCATGTTTGCTTCTGACGGTATAAATCAGAATGTCCACAAAATAAGTAACTTACCATGTTTTTTCGTGTAAATGGCTCAACAAGCATTCAGACATCATTTTTCAGGTACACACTACAAAGCCATCTGAGAGAAATCTTGGCACTTTCAAGCCTCCATTGAAAGCTTCAAAATCAGTGAGCTTTAATACCCAAATTATCCATAGCTCAATAAGATATATTTAATTGAATGCAGTCATTTCCATACCCCAAAATTGATGGACTGAAGTGATATATGACCAAGATACAAATCCTTTAAATGTTGCTTGCACAACCCAAGTCTCCGTCTATTCAAGCTGGGATGAATACAGCTTGAGAACCCTGTCTTCCAGCCTGGAAACTTCTGCCTTTCCATTACATGAAGAGTATAAACACTTGGCGCTGGAGCCATACACCCATTTACAAAACAATTGCAAGGACGTGACTCACTTACCATTCTTGCAAGAGAGAGTAAACATAAGCCGCTGTATGAAAT